CAGCCCCGCAGTCGCGGGGCGGGCCCACGCTATACGCAGACGGTCGCCAAGATGGTCCAGTGGTGGCGCACGTGTCTCTCACAGCTGCCGACGCGCTGCCTCCCACTGTTCTACGCCGACGTCGACGACGGCCTGGGCTGCCGCAAGGTCGACGGCGACTGGACAGACTACGAGACCAACGCCATCGGTAGGATACGCACACGCGAACGACGCCGACTGGGTGCTGGAGAGGCAGTGGGTGATCTACTCACTCAGCAGCACCTCCCGGCGGCCAACACGATGGGCAGGTACGAGGCGACCTTCTTCGGCAGCGGGCCCGAGGGCCCAAGCAGTCTCGTCGATTTCGTTTTTCTCCCGCAGGGCTGGGCGCCCCACATAGTCAAGTGCCACACGTTGCACAGGGTGGGCGCCCAGCTCCAGGCCCAGAGAGGCCGACCTCCACGCGGCCACGTGCCAGTATATCTTCAGGTTTCATATCCACGGGGACCGCGCGACTGTCAGGACCAACCAGTCACACCCAAATGGGACATGACTGCCCTCATGGCGGCGGTCAAGCGCGGCGACCAGCGCTTGGACTTCGTGAGCGGTGTCGCCCAGTGACTAGACGACCACGCTGCGGAGCTCACCGCGGCCCGCGACCAGGGCGCCCCCGACCGCACATTCGAGCTGCTTGAGCGCTGCATGGTCGAGGTTGGCGCCGAGTACTTCACGAAGCCGACGGAACTTCCCGACGAGTATGCGCACTGGGCGAAGCTGAGGCGAGACCTGCTCCAGGAGAGGATTGACATGTGCGCCTCGCGCGCGACAGTGGGCGACATTGAGCTGGAGCAGGTGGAGCATGACCTCCGCGATCTCTCTCAGCCGCTCACACTTCTCCGACGAAAACATGTACGCGCGGTTCGGGAGTCCTACGTCCAGGCTTCATACGACGCATGGGCCCAGAAGAACCTCTGCGAGGCCATGGGGTGGGCCCGCCGCGCTGCCCGCTGCCGCTTCTCGGCAAAAAGGAGGGGCGGGCGGCGCTTCGGCGGCGCCCCCACCACGCACGAGGAGTGGCTCGCCGTCTGGTCCCTCCCTGGCGGCGACGGCGGGATGCAGGTCCACCGGATCGACTTAGGCGCCTGGCGTGCCGCTCGGGACGATATGGACATGAATCAGATCTACGACATGGCCCGCTATGAGGATCGCCCCCAGCAGCCAGGATACAGTGATATTCGCCGCCTTCGTAGATGCGTTCGTCGGGCCCCGAGGCGCCGTGTTGTTCCAGAAGGATCGGCCCCGCTCGAACTTTGGTGGCGGCTCCCTCGCCCCGATCGAGGTATGGAACGTCAGCAGCCTGGTCTTGGAGCCTCGCGAGCCCCCGGGGAGCCCGCGCAGTTTCTGGAGACCCTCCTGGACGGGGGGATGAAAATCAGGATCACCGACCTGGCCCCTTTATATTGGAATGTAAGTCGAGGTTGTGCCTTGTATAAGTCGGCCCATCCTGGGCCTCAGGGCAAAAGGGTGGTCCACGTGCTTCCTGTCGTGGGGAAGTCTTTCTTCGCGGAGTTGTTGCCCAACGAATTGCCTCCTGGAGATTTTTGGTTCCCAGCGTCGTCGTCGTCGGGAAGGGGCCATCTGCCGCCCTGTGCCGAATTGGACGGACGCTCTGCGCGAGGGCGATCCGCCCCTCGGGCTTCTCCGCGCTGAATGGGGCGGCCAGGGGGTCGACCTTAGCTTGTGCAAGTATGCTGGCGACCTCTTCCGCTGCGCTCTCATTGCCCATGGGGGCTCCATGGGGAGTTTCCTGGCTAAGCTCAAGTATTCAGATGACTGTCTCGACTCCCTCCTCCAGGACTACGGGCGCAAACGAACTCGGGGGGAAAAAACATGAGTTGGCCGTCTGGATCGAGGGGGGGGGGGGGGGCTGGCTTGCAAGAAGTGGCTCCGCGGGCCTGGTCGGGCACTCCTGCCGGGGGAACTCAAGGAGGAGGTCAGGTATCTTGGGCCCCACATCGCGATGTCCCAGGCGCCCAGCCAGGAAATCGCCCGTCGTCTCCAGGCAGCTCGAGCCGCTTTTTATTCAATGGGCGGCTTCTGGTCTTTGCGACTGCCGTGGGAGCTCACGCGCTCGATTTTTATGTCTTTGTGTCTTTGGTTCAGAATTCAGCCTTGTGTGGCTTGGAGGCCTTCTTGATCACCAGGCATCAGAGTGCCAGTTTAGATGCCACGGTGGCGCACTTCGCCCGCGTGGCCATGCGTGGAAGGGCCAGCTGGCAGACAGAGTCTGGAGCGACCCGTACGTTGACGACAAAAGGAGTTCTCAGGCACCGGCGCATTTGTGAGACGCACATCGAGCTTGGGATTCGTCGTCTGAACTGGTGCAAGGTTTGGTCCCGCCACCCGTCCTGCCACCTCCCGTTGCTCTCCGCCCTCTTCGGCTCCGTGGCCTTCGAGATAGGTATGGCCCCCATGATCGACGGCGTGCTCACCTCAACGGCCTCTCCGTGGGCTCGACGCGTCGTTGATGATTTTCGATGGGCCCAGGAGTTCCTTCCAGATCACGGTGACCTTCTAGGATGTCTCGCCGCCCGCCCTGGCCTCCTGTGGGATCCAGAGGCCCAGTGTGAGGTCGAGAATATCGATTTCACTGCCATTCGATCGTGTGCGTTCGGTTCACGGGTCGCGCCACCAGAGTACACGGAAGAGGCTCCTGCGGCTCTCCCTGATGAGCTCTTGGACCCCGATGCTCCCAAGTTCGTCTGTCTTGTCGCTGAATGTGGTGAACGTTTTTACTACGAAACAGGGACTCATGGCACATATGCGATCTCAACATGATTATCGATCTCTGTGCCATGTCGTCACACCATGTAATACATGTATACGCTGTCGGGAAATCCTCTGGGACAGGGCTTGCGCGGCTCGGCATCTAGTACTAGCCGTGCAACGGGGACATGGTCGTTTCGGTGGGGGTGGGTCGCTGCGACCCCTGACGCCTCCGTCGACCTTGCAGTGCCCCATATGCGAGTTCGAGGCTTCTGGCTTGGACTCCCTATGCCGACATCTACGCAGCCACCTCCCTGGCCCAGTTCTCTCTCGGAAGCGCCGCCTCCTCGCGGACGCTCCGAGCGTCGCCCTTGGCAATGTCCCGGGTGGTGGCGGCGAGCTGGACGCAGGGGCCTTCGGCGACAGTGAAACGTGGAGCAGACGGGGCCCGCGGCTCGGCGCCGCCAGCCAAGCAGGCCGCCGAGGGCAACCTGAAGAATGAGGAGGGCGACCTCCAGGCTGCGCTGTTGAAGGTGATCGCAAAGCTGCGCCTCAGCGACGCGCGCGAGCTGGCCAACCTCGCAGGCGCAGTCTACCGGGCGTGGGGGGCGACCGAGACCGCGGACTCTTTCACGCAGATCTTGATCGACGCGGGCCTCAAGTACGACGAGGTTTCAAAAAGCCTCAAGGAGCGCCAGCAGGCTGGCGAAAGCGTCGGCTTCAGAGCAGGAGGACCGCCACGCGTGCAGGTCTGGAGGGCGCTCGCCATGAGCTTCGCGAATCAGATGGACACCTTCCACGACGGCAGCGAGACCTACAAGGAGAGCGAGAAGAAGGCATTCTACGAGTACTTCCAGAAGCACCTGGCCCAGAAACTGCCGACGGATGTGGCCAAGCACGTGCCCCACTCCCGCTGCAAGAAGTTCAAGCCGAAGAAGAACCAGGGCGGGGCCACGGTGGCGGCGGAGGAGAAGAAGGGCAGGCTCACCTTCGCCTTTTCGTACGACGAGCCGGGCAGGGAGGCGAGGTCGCTGCTGATCCAGTTCCTGAACTTTGACAAGGCCACGGCGACGCAGCTCGCGGGGCCTACCCCGAGGGGTCCTCTCGAGCGCGAGGCGGCGAGGCTCCTCGCGATCTTCGAGAAGGGCGGTGGCAAGGACAAGGATCAGGATCAGGAGAGCTGACGTTAAACAAAAGAAAAAGGCACGACAGGAGTCGTTCGCGTGAGCGTGAGAGCGAGGGGTCCGTGAGAAACGGCTTCTGAGTAGAGGGGCTTTCGCAGGTAGTGAGCGACTAGCCGCTTTAGTGGCCCGAGGGGCCATCCCAGACCCTTCGAGGCCACGAGTTTCGATGCATATTCTAATCCCGATCTTCCCCCAATCCTCTTGGTGGTGGCGGCTAAACGGGCTCCACGCAGAGGAGGAAAAGGGCCCGCAAGATTCTCACGGTAGACCTGGCGCGTCGGTCCCTTAGACGGCCCCCTTCGTACGCCTGCGCGGCGTCTGGGGTTCGCCGTCGTCTCAGGGGCTATGCTGGCCCTGCCAGAGGGGTTCCCCCCCCCCCCCCCCCCCGTTTTTTTCAAGGTTACCCCGCTCCCCCCAAGAAGTCGGGTTGCGGTGAGTTCACGGCCAGCTTTTATGGTATGAGATCGAGTAACTCATTTGGGCTCCCCGCGCATTGCTCATTGCTTATTGCCCCTCCTCCTCCTCCTACTCCTCCTCCTCTTCCTCCTCCTCCTCTTCCTCCTCCTCCTCCTCTCTCGCTCCTCCTCCTCCTCCTCCCTCCTCCTCCTCCTCCTCCTCCTCCTCCTCCTCTCCTCTCGCTCCACCTCCTCCTGCTCCCTCCTCCTCCTCCTTCCTCCTCCTCCTCCTCCTCTCTCGCACCACCTCCTCCTGCTCCTCCTCCTCCTCCTCCTCCTCCTCCGCTTCCTCCTCCTCCTCCTCCTCGCAGGTGGAAGGCGCCGGGAGTGGGGAGCCTTGAGACGGGGGTCTTTGCAAACGGGGGTCAGCCAGATCGCCCGATCTTGCAGGGCCGGGGTCGCATCCGGGTTTGGGTGCAGGATGCTGCAGGATTTTGCAGGATCCTTCGCGTTGACCCGGTTTTGGGTGCAGGATCTTGCAGGATTCTGCAAGGCCTGACTGGCCCGAGTCTGGATCGACCCGGGTCGGAAGATTCCCGATATAGGATTCCCCGATATCGCCGACCGCGATCGGTGATGGTAGCGTTTCGTGCGCTGGGGTTCGGCCCCTCCGCGCCCCCCCGAAAGCCGCGCACCAAAGGACAGTCTTGTCCAGGGACGCTCCTCCGGGGAAATGTAAGACTCGGGAGCGCTGGGACTCGGACTTGCCGATGCTTTTGACGTGCGCGTCCCGTATTTTGACGGCCTGGTTTCCGTGGGATGTCCGCAGCGGGAGCTCGCCTCAAGTTTCAGACTGGGTCTCGTCATTTTTATGATGGCCCCGTCAGGCCAACCCGAGTCCCCCGTACCCGAGTCTTGCGTCTCCCCGACTCTTGCGTGTAGCCGAGCATCGCGTCCAAAGGAGCGCTGCCGTTCCCGGTGCCCGCGTTCGACGCGGGGAGGCAAGCGGACCGCAAATCGCCGCGCCCGTTCTCTCCCGCGCCGTCGGCGTAGGAACGCAGCCGCGCGCCTGCCACGAGCGCTGCTTCGCGCCCCTACCATGAAGTCGGGCATGTCCTTCTGCAGGAGGAATATCAACAAGTAGTAAAAATAGTATGTTTTTTTTTGATTGTTTGTTTTTTTGGTTGTTGTTGTTTTTTTCCCCCAACCATCCTGTGGTGTTGGGTCCTCGTTTTGATTTTTTTCCCAACCATCCTGTGGTGTTGGGTCTTCGTTTTGAAGAGACGGTGCCCCGCGTTCCTCCTCCTTCCTCCCGCTGCCCCCTCCTCCCTCCCCCTTGCCTCTGCCCTCCGCATGTCTCTGTTTCGGCACATCCCTCACGCGTTCCGTGGCCCCATAGGGAGCTCCACCGAAGGCCCCAGTGGCAGGGTCCGCATGGCGGCCCCGCATTTTGGCGCACCCCTCACACGGTTCGTGGCCCCATAGGGAGCTCCACCGAAGGCCCCATTGGCAGGGTCCGCATGGCGGCCCCGCATTGGGGCGCACCCCTCACACGGTTCGTGGCCCCATAGGGAGCTCCACCGAAGGCCCCAGTAGCAGGGTCCGCATGGCGGCCCCGCATTTTGGCGCACCCCTCACACGGTTCGTGGCCCCATAGGGAGCTCCACCGAAGGCCCCAGTGGCAGGGTCCGCATGGCGGCCCCGCATTTTGGCCACCCCTCACACGGTTCGTGGCCCCATAGGGAGCTCCACCGAAGGCCCCAGTGGCAGGGTCCGCATGGCGGCCCCGCATTTTGGCGCACCCCTCACACGGTTCGTGGCCCCATAGGGAGCTCCACCGAAGGCCCCAGTGGCAGGGTCCGCATGGCGGCCCCGCATTTTGGCGCACCCCTCACACGGTTCGTGGCCCCATAGGGAGCTCCACCGAAGGCCCCAGTGGCAGGGTCCGCATGGCGGCCCCGCATTTTGGCGCACCCCTCACACGGTTCGTGGCCCCATAGGGAGCTCCACCGAAGGCCCCAGTGGCAGGGTCCGCATGGCGGCCCGCCCCATTTTGGCGCACCCCTCACACGGTTCGTGGCCCCATAGGGAGCTCCACCGAAGGCCCCAGTGGCAGGGTCCGCATGGCGGCCCCGCCCCATTTTGGCGCACGCCTCACACGGTTCGTGGCCCCATAGGGAGCTCCACCGAAGGCCCCAGTGGCAGGGTCCGCATGGCGGCCCCGCCCCATTTTGGCGCACCCCTCACACGGTTCGTGGCCCCATAGGGAGCTCCACCGAAGCTGATGCCCACAATTGCGGTATTAACAATTGCTTATGGTTGGGTTTTTCGCCAGGCTAATTTTCCCAACCATCTTGTGGTGTTGGGTCTTCGTTTTGAAGAGACGGTGCCCCGCGTTCCTCCTCCTTCCTCCCGCTGCCTCCTCCTCCTCCCTCCCCCTTGCCTCTGCCCTCCGCATGTTTCTGTTTCGGCACATCCCTCACGCGTTCCGTGGCCTCATAGGGAGCTCCAGCGAAGGCACCAGTGGCAGGGTCCGCATGGCGGCCCCGCATTTTGGCGCACCCCTCACACGGTTCGTGGCCCCATAGGGAGCTCCACCGAAGGCCCCAGTGGCAGGGTCCGCATGGCGGCCCCGCATTTTGGCGCACCCCTCACACGGTTCGTGGCCCCATAGGGAGCTCCACCGAAGGCCCCAGTAGCAGGGTCCGCATGGCGGCCCCGCATTTTGGCGCACCCCTCACACGGTTCGTGGCCCCATAGGGAGCTCCACCGAAGGCCCCAGTGGCAGGGTCCGCATGGCGGCCCCGCATTTTGGCGCACCCCTCACACGGTTCGTGGCCCCATAGGGAGCTCCACCGAAGGCCCCAGTGGCAGGGTCCGCATGGCGGCCCCGCATTTTGGCGCACCCCTCACACGGTTCGTGGCCCCATAGGGAGCTCCACCGAAGGCCCCAGTGGCAGGGTCCGCATGGCGGCCCCCGCATTTTGGCGCACCCCTCACACGGTTCGTGGCCCCCTAGGGAGCTTCCACCGAAGGCCCCGTGGCAGGGTCCGCATGGCTGGCCCCGCATTTTTTTCGGCCCGCCCTCACACGTTTCCCGTGGCCCCAGGGAGCTCCACCGAAGGCCCCATTTGCAGGGTCCCACATGGCGGCCGCCGCATTTTTGCGCACCCCACTCACACGGTTCGTGGCCCCATAGGGAGCTCCACCGAAGGCCCCAGTGGCAGGGTCCGCATGGCGGCCCCGCCCCATTTTGGCGCACCCCTCACACGGTTCGTGGCCCCATAGGGAGCTCCGCCGAAGGCCCCAATGGCAGGGTCCGCATGGCGGCCCCGCTCCATTTTGGCGCACCCCTCACACGGCTCGTGGCCCCATAGGGAGCTCCACCGAATGCCCCAGTGGCAGGGTCCGCATGGCGGCCCCGCCCCATTTTGGCGCACCCCTCACACGGTTCGTGGCCCCATAGGGAGCTCCACCGAAGATGATGTCCACAATTGCGGTATTAACACTTGCTTATGGTTGGGTCTTTCGCCAGGCTAATTTTTTTCCCAACCATCCTGTGGTGTTGGGTCCTCGTTTTGAAGAGACGGTGCCCCGCGTTCCTCCTCTTCCTCCCGCTGCCCCCTCCCTCCTCCCCCTCCCCCCTCCCCCTTGCCTCTGCCCTCCGCATGTCTCTGTTTCGGCACATCCCTCACGCGTTCCGTGGCCCCATAGGGAGCTCCACCGAAGGCCCCAGTGGCAGGGCCCGCATGGCGGCCCCGCATTTTGGCGCACCCCTCACACGGTTCGTGGCCCCATAGGGAGCTCCACCGAAGGCCCCAGTGGCAGGGTCCGCATGGCGGCCCCGCCCCATTTTGGCGCACCCCTCACACGGTTCGTGGCCCCATAGGGAGCTGCTCAACACCGAAGGTCCCCAAGTAGCAGGTCGCCTATGGCGCCCGCATTTTGTGGTTCACCCTTCACACGGGTTCGTGGCTGTCGTGTGCCCCAGAGGGAGCTCCACCAGAAGGCCCTCAGTGGCAGGGTCCCGCATGCGCGGCCCCGCATTGGGGCGCACCCCTCAAACGGTCGTGGCCCCATGGGGACCTCCCCACCGAAGGCGGCCCGCATTGGGGCGCACCCCTCAAACCCGTTCGCGTGGCCCCATAGGGTGCTCCACCGAAGGCCCCAGTGGCAGGGTCCGCATGCAGTTCCACCTCCATTTCGGCGCACCCCTCACACGTTTCGTGGCCCCCATAGGGTGCTCCGCCGAAGGCCCCAGTGGCAGGGTCCGCATGCAGTTCCACCTCCATTTCGGCGCACCTCTCACACGTTTCGTGGCCCCATAGGGAGCTCCACCGAAGGCCCCAGTGGCAGGGTCCGCATGGCGGCCCCGCCTCATTTTGGCGCACCCCTCACACGGTTCGTGGCCCCATAGGGAGCTCCACCGAAGGCCCCAGTGGCAGGGTCCGCATGGCGGCCCCGCCCCATTTTGGCGCACCCCTCACACGGCTCGTGGCCCCATAGGGAGCTCCACCGAATGCCCCAGTGGCAGGGTCCGCATGGCGGCCCCGCCCCATTTTGGCGCACCCCTCACACGGTTCGTGGCCCCATAGGGAGCTCCACCGAAGATGATGCCCACAATTGCGGTATTAACAATTGCTTATGGTTGGGTCTTTCGCCAGGCTAATTTTTGTTTCTCTTGTTTTTGACAGTTTTTTGTGACTCTTGCTTATTTTTCCGCGAAGAGCCGCCCGTAGGAGGACATGCCCGACCTAACCCCACCACCGCCGCGCACTGTTCGGCCACGCGCAAAACGGGGCAGACAGTGAAGACGCTGAAATGAGGACCACCTTGGGCTCTGCGGGGGCTTCGGTCTTCGGGCCGTTCCTCAGATGTCTGGTTTTGGGGCTCTGCGTGGCCGAGGCTCGCCGTGGCCAGAAGAGCCCCTTCGTTCCTTGTTGCGGCGGGGGCGTTGGTTGAGGAACGTGCCCGGGGGGCTTCAGGCCCCAGAGGGTTCCTCATCTGATGAGGGCGGCGGCGATGTCCACTGCCACTCCGCGATTGGAGTTCCACTGGCTTCCGGACCCTGGACTCCTGCTCCAATGTTCCTTCTGGTAGTGCGACGGCTGCCTGGGGCGGGGGCGCGGGCCTCCTTCTGTGGGCGTGGGGCCCGGCGCCTGCTCGGGAGCAGCCTCCTTCGAAGAAGCCTTCCCCCCCCCCACCCTTCAGTCGGGCCTGTCCCTCTACAGGGGGAAGATCCAAAGATGAAGTACCCCCCAAAAAATTAGCCTGGCGAAAGACCCAACCATAAGCAATTGTTAATACCGCAATTGTGGGCATCATCTTCGGTGGAGCTCCCTATGGGGCCACGAACCGTGTGAGGGGTGCGCCAAAATGGGGCGGGGCCGCCATGCGGACCCTGCCACTGGGGCCTTCGGTGGAGCTCCCTATGGGGCCACGAACCGTGTGAGGGGTGCGCCAAAATGGGGCGGGGCCGCCATGCGAACCCTGCCACTGGTGGCCTTCGGTGGAGCTCCCTATGGGGCCACGAACCGTGTGAGGGGTGCGCCAAAATGGGGCGGGGCCGCCATGCGAACCCTGCCACTGGGGCCTTCGGTGGAGCTCCCTATGGGGCCACGAACCGTGTGAGGGGTGCGCCAAAATGGGCGGGGCCGCCATGCGAACCCTGCCACTGGGGCCTTCGGTGGAGCTCCCTTTGGGGCCACGAACCGTGTGAGGGTGCGCCAAAATGGGCGCGGGGCCGCCATGCGAACCCTGCCACTGGGGCCTTCGGTGGAGCTCCCTATGGGGCCACGAACCGTGTGAGGGGTGCGCCAAAATGGGCGGGGCCGCCATGCGAACCCTGCCACTGGGGCCTTCGGTGGAGCTCCCTATGGGCCACGAACCGTGTGAGGGGTGCGCCAAAATGGGGCGGGGCCGCCATGCGAACCCTGCCACTGGGGCCTTCGGCGAGCTCCCTATGGGGCCACGAACCGTGTGAGGGGTGCGCCAAAATGCGGGGCCGCCATGCGGACCCTGCCACTGGGGCCTTCGGTGGAGCTCCCTATGGGGCCACGGAACGCGTGAGGGATGTGCCGAAACAGAGACATGCGGAGGGCAGAGGCAAGGGGGAGGGAGGAGGGGGATGGGGCAGCGGGAGGAAGGAGGAGGAACGCGGGGCACCGTCTCTTCAAAACGAGGACCCAACACCACAGGATGGTTGGGAACAAATCGTGAAAATCTTCAACACATCCCCATAATGGGCATCTTTTTTGCATGTTTCGTTTTAAATCCGCCTGCAGGAGGACACGCCCGACCTGACCCTACCCCCTTGTGCGCGCCGCCGAGGGGCGGGCCTGATCAGCTGCGTCCGCCGTCCTGGGCCTGATCAGCTGCGGCCGCCGTCCTGGCTGGCCAGCCAGGTGCCGCCGAGCTCCTGTCCGTCCAGGCGCGCGTGGCGATAAAAGGCAGTTCGAGCGCGCCCTCACGAGAAGGACCCAGACCTCTCGTCAGAGGAGTGCTGGGGGCGTCTGGGTTCGGCCGTTGGCCTGCGGGTCTGGGGCATTGAGCAGCGCGATGGCTGTATGCCCGCCCTGTGTGGAGAGTGGGAGGGGGGCGGGTCGATAGGGAAAGGAGGGAGGGGACAAGGGAGGGAGAGGGGCGGGGAAAATGGGATGAAGAGACGCAGCCGCCCATCGCTTTTTCCTGCGACACGTCACTGGTGAGCCTTGGACCTTGAGGTTTCGCAGCATTGAAATGATTTGCTTGACCCGCACAGGGGTCTTCTGCTTCTTCTCGCATCGCCGTCCGACTGAGGCACGGCTGTCATCTAGGTTTGAGCAGCCTCTTCTTCGCGAAAATGGCAGATCACCGCAATCGTCAGGGTACCGCTCTTACTAATCTTCGCCATCAATGATCGTATGCCTTCAAAGTGCCGTCGTGCACCTTTCACGAGACCCATCATACCGAAAACGCCTACGAGGAGTCACCGCCGCCCCCTGTCTTTCTGGCACTGCTGGTGAGGCCAAACGTGGGGCCACAGTCTAGGCACACTATTGCACTACGTTTCCCCCCGCCAGTTGTGGAACCCCTTGGGGAAACACTTGGTAAAGAAGGGTAGCGGAGGATGATGGAGGAGGAGGAGGAGGAACAGGAGGAGGAGGAGGAGGAGGAGGAGGAAGAGGACCAGTGTAAACCTTCGAGCCACAAGCGATGTTGGAATACTCCCTCCCTCCAAGCTCCCTCTTCCTAGGCCCCTACAACGGTTCATTTCCATTGAGGCGTCTGCCTCGTTGGAAGACAACCGTTTGAAGACCCGGAAGCATGCCGAAACATTGTTCTCGGGATTCCAACGCCACAGATCAACCTGACCTTTGCGTGTTGACGACCATGGATCGTGACAGAACGCCATTGTTGGGATTTCAACACCGCGAATCAACGTAACTGTTGCACCCGCAAAATCCGGAATCCTTCAACAAAAACGGTTTCTGATACGTTGGTCGTGGGAATCCGTGAACCCCCTGCAATTTTTAGAACCAATGTGCGCGGCGCCGAGGCGAGAACCACATTTTGAAGAGGAGCCGCCCTCAATCCGTGAAACTCTTGCAAATTTCTAGAACGAATGTGCGCGGCGCTAAGCCGAGAGCAACATGTTGTAAACGGGTTATCCTCAATCCGTGAAGCTCGTGCAAAGTTTTGGAACGAATGTGCGCGGCGCTCAGGCGAGAGCCACATTTTGAAAACCACCCCCCTCCATCTGTGAAGCTGTTGCCAATTTTTTCAGCTTCAGAGTCATAAGTGGTGAGAAAGTCTCAGGCGACACGCCCGGCCCGCCCTAAAAACTGGCTTCGGGGTGCGACTGGGAGAAATTATTCATAATTAAGAGGAATGGAGGAGGAGGAGGAGGAGGAGGAGGAGGAGGAGGAGGAGGAGGAGGAGGAGGCAGAGAAGGAGGATGAGGAGGAGGAGGAGGAGGATGGAGGATGGAGGATGGGAAAGGAGGATTGAGGATGGGAGATGGAGGATGGAGGATGGAGGCTGGAGGATGATGGATGGAGGAGGAGGAGGAATATTAGGAATAACGTATTAATAATCTCAATACTAATAAGAACAATAATTCTAATCATATTATCCGTAAGCAGAATAATATTATTACTAGTACCAAGGATACTAGTACGACGCACACGAATAAGAA